TTTTTTTCTTTTTTCTTTTTTCTTTTTTTTTCTTTCTTCTTTTTCTTTTTTCTTTTTTTCCCTTTTTCCTTTTTTCTTTTTTTTTCTTTTTCTTTCTTTGTTCTCTTCTCTTCTCTTCTCTTCTCTTCTCTTCTCTTCTCTTCTCTTCTCTTCTCTTCTCTTCTCTTCTCTTCTCTTCTCTTCTCTTCTCTTCTTCTCCTCTCTTCTCCTCTCTTCTCCTCTCTTCTCCTCTCTTCTCCTCTCTTCTCTCTTCTCTCTTTTCTTAATTTGCATGTTTTGTGGAAACATATGAGATTGTATTACAGTAGTAAGGGCTTCAGAATCCCAGTAGATGATGTAATTATGATTAAAAATTAGTATTATTGAATAATTCACTTTTGTAATGCACAAAAGTATTTTTTTTTTCTCTCGTTTTCAATAACCATCAGTCTTAATATCTAACTAATGAAAAAACATAAACAGAGTCATCTGTCAGGTTGCTCACAGAGAATGCCACTTATCGGAGCCTCATTGTTTACTTTAGCAGGTAATTTGTGGACCGGAATCATTTAATTGTTCTGAGCACATAATTACATGCCAGCATTTTCCAATTTAATTAAAATGTACAAATCTAAAGATTAAGGGAATTTTTGAATTATTAATCATTTCTCCTCTAGGAAATCTTGTTGCTCTGCAGGAGATTTGTCCAGTGTACAACTATACGTATTTTTTTCCTTCTCTTTCGCAGACAGACAATTTTCCCGCAGAGCCCAATTACATGGGCAGCAGGCAGCAGTTTGTTCAAAGGTAAGGCCTATTAAATAACTTTCTCAGCTTCCCCATTTGCATTCTTGTCAAAATTGCTTGGCCAAAGAGTACAATTCAACCTAGAACAAGTAAATACAACTCTCCCTCTCTCTCTCTCTCTTTTTTTTTTTTTTTTTTATTTTTTTTTATTTTAAATATGTATTTCAGTAGCTCCACATTCAAGGATCCAGAAAGAGCCAGCTTGAGGGACAGCGGGCATGGGGACAGTGATCAGGCTGACAGTGACCAAGACACTAACAAAGGCTCCTGCTGTGACATGTCTGTTAGGGAGGCACTCAAGATGAAAACTGCTTCAACTAAAAGCCAGCCACTTGAACAAGGTGAGTGAAGCCTCCAGTGCTTACAAAGCGTAAAGTTAAGCCATCATTATAAACCTATTAGTGTTGCAGTTGCAGTGTAACAGAGTGGAATAGCCTTCTGATAATACTATCAGAGAAAACTGTAAATCTTGTACCTAGCCCAGAGCAAAGGCATTCATGATCTTTCAGAATGAATATGAAATGAAACCACAAGTATCCTTCTTCCGTAGAACGAAAATAGATTAAAAAAATAAAATAAAATAAAATTAGTACTTCTCTAAAATGATTAGAAAACACTTTATCTCCACTGGCATTGCCTGTGATATATTACATACTGTTCTTCAGCCAAAGCGTGATTTGAAAACTCAACTCAGACATGACTGCAACAGATAAAAGAGCAGCAGTCATTTACATTCCTCATGTAGTTCGGATGCGAGGAAAAGAAAGAGACTCGGGATATTAGACAACAGTAAAAACTGACCGGAAAGTGTTTTAATTTCAAGGATGTACATTTCTATTTGTAATGTTGATTTCACAATTAATAGTAGTATGAGAATTGTCAAAAAAAAAAAAAAATCTGATTTTTAGTATTATTTCACCCACACTCTAGGTTGGTATCAAAGATGAGTGTCTGTGAACCAGCTAAAATTACTTATAGCAACAATGACCACAATCTCTGCAAGCTTTCATTCTGACAAATAAGCATATTTATTTCTTCAAAATCTGCGTGTGTCCAGTGCACATTTTTTTTTTTTCCAGATATGCTTTATCTAATTATGAGGTGTTTTATTTCAGAAGAAACAATTAAAAAAAAAAAAAAAATTGACAAACTGAGCACTTAAGCATTGTGTGTTTGTGTGATTTTGCCGAGGTTGTAGGCAATAAGAAAGAGCACTACTGCTGGAATGTTTTATATATTTATTTTAGGTTAGTTTTTTAAAAGATGATTCAGGCTTAGAGAAAGTTAAGAGATGATTAAATAAGTCAATAAGTTATTAAGAAGCTACATTTATAATTAAGCAGAAAAAAGTATGAGTTTTTTATTAATTGTTGATTAATTTGATCTAGGTTTTTGTTGTTTTGTTTTGCTTTTGTAGCTAGCCCAGTCTGATCTGTTATACAGTCATTAGGAACATGTTTCTGGTTATATTGGGATTGCAATGTGACTTTTGCTATGTAGAATATTTAGAATGCTGCAGTATAACCTATTCTGTGTATATTTGAGGGTTGACCTCAAATATGACCTTATTTTCCAACTAATAAATGCCAGAAAGATTATTTTTTCCTAACCTCTTGCCACAGCAAGTCTCTGCTTATAATTAGACATCGATCTGTATAAAGATGCAGCACTAGACTTCTTTTTTTTTTTTTTTTTTAAAGAAACTGAGTATGTATCTAATTTTCTCAGTTTTGTTTTAGCAAAAAGGGTGGATTTCTACCATCAAGTACAGCAATGAGGTTCTAAAATTCAAAAAGTTTAATTGGGAAAATAATTTACTGCTCTAAATAATTAAGAAGTGAGAGCTTTTTAGAAAATCAGTATATAGCCAGAGTTCATATTTTATCACAGTCTGTCAATATAACATCAAGAACAATACAGCTCAAAATATGAAAACATTAGTAAGCAGGTTAAGCCAATCTCTTCTATTCCATGTTTCCTTTGTAACAGTAAAAGTTATCTGGAGGTTTGCATTTATCATTATGTTTCTATGAGAGTCCCCATTTATCAGGAAACAACTCACAGCAGTGGCTCGTATTAATTCCTCACATTCTTATTAAATGTATACTGAACTATGGATGTTAAGTACTGTTAGCCACTGCTTTGCAGCAGCAGATGTTTATGTAATATTTTTTACTAAGAAAAAATAAATAATCAGCATAGAGAGATGAATCACTTTTCTTTCCCCCCAAAAATACAATTTCAAATGGTAATAGCATATATTTGTTTACCTCCATCTCAAGTATGTGGTAATAAAATCATTTGGCATATTACAAAAACTGAACCAACAGCAAGCATCTTTGGGACTAGAAATCATTACAGTAACAAATGTGGTGCAATATAGTGTTTTCAATAAAATCAATGATAGCTTCTCATTGAGTATTGTGTGATCAAGGCTTTTAGTCCAACATAACTTCTCTCTTTTGAAAGACAATAAACAAAATGGCTTTCTCTACACATTATTCTATTTCATTCCATTCCACGCTGAAGAAGAGTAAGAAATATAATGTATGCGATTCAGGTAGAAAGAGGATTGCATTTTTTTTAGAGGAGAATTGTTTTCTGGGAAATGGGGGTGGAATGCTTAATTTTCTATGGTGACACCTGAAGCAGTGTCAGAAGTTGTGTTTCTGTCAGTTCTGTCATCTCTCTAGGTTGTGCTAAAGGGTAGGAATTCACTGTTTTGTAGCAAAGTTTCAGACATGATTATTTCTGTTTAAAGATTCCAAAATAATTTAACTTCTAGAAAAGAGGGGCAAAACAAAGGCCTTTAAAATACATTGAGACAATAAGCCATGTCTCCTTTCAGATATTAATTTTTTCCTTCTCTGTAAATTTTAAGCTATTTTCTGCATAAAAATATCTGTCTTTGGTCAGATCAGATTTCTCAACTTATTCCCTACTTACACTGATCTGGCTGTCTTACAAAGGAGCTTGTTTCCTATGACTTACTTTTTCAGTGGAATGATTTTAGACATGTGTCTTGCTTACCTTTTATTTTCCCCATTTTGTTCCTGAGACTTTAAACCCCTTCACAGGTTCAGACAGTTTAAGATCATCCTACTTACAAATCTCACACGAATTAACACTGTTAAACACTGTTTGCCAAGTTACATAAAAATTCCTGTTGATTCCACCTGGTGTAGCATGTATTATTCACATTTTATGTTTAAATAATAGAATAATCTTTTTATTTTGCTGTGGCTTGTGCATAAAAACTACAATCAGTGTTTTTTTAAATGACATACAAAGATGAAAATGATATTGTAATCCATAAATGATATCTACAACATAAACACGTTCATTCTAAACTTTCTTAGTAAGTCCTGAGAATGTTTGTCTTATAATCTGTAAAACAGTGTAGAGATAGGGATGTTTTTTTTCTAGTTGCTTATAATTTATTCATTTCTTGGATTTTTCGGTGCTTTTCTAATTTAATATATCTCTGGCAGATTATTATTACTATATTATTAGGGTTTTTTTTTGTTCAGTATATCACTCACTGTGCAACAGAAATCTTGCTTTCAAAATGCTTGATGTTCACACTTGTATCCCATAGAGGGGGCATTTTTGCACGTGCTTTTTCCTGGTTAATGGTAGCATGGATCCTAAGAATAAAGGAAAATTAGAGGTACATCCACGAAGAAAGAGTGAAAGAAAACTTTAACACTGGTGTCAGAAACTCCTCTAAGACCACTTTACCAGGTTTTTCTGGAAACTGGAAACAACACATTTTTAATCTAAGATATATGTGACTAGGATAAAAGAGCTGGAGTTGATCTTCAGCAATAAAAATTAAAAAAATAATAATAAAAGAAGATTAAATATCACATGAAAATACAACACTTTCTTCATAATCACAATGAAAATACACATGGAACAAAGCTGACGCAAACTTGCATGCAACTGTCTAAAGAATAAAGACTGTATCAGATATTTTGCATCTCAATGAAAACCATTAACTCTACTTTTTAATGGTCTCCTTCTCTGGAGACATTCAAGACTTGCCTGGATGCTTATCTTTGCAACCTGGTCTAGGGAGCCTGCTTTATCAGGGGGGTTGGACTCTATGATCTCTAGAGGCCCCTTCCAGCCCCTACAATTCTGTGACTCTGTAATTCTGTGATTGGTCCACTGAACATGTTCATGGAACAAGACTGTAGTAACTTGTGCATTTTTATTTTCAATTTTTAAAAAGAAAGATCCCTGAAATTGAATATCTTACTTTATCTAACTGCAGCAGAGTAGATATTATCAGAATTTTTTATGAATAATTCTTCTGAACTTTCCAATGATTTTCTTATATCAGCTCAATATCCACACTGGTGCATTTAACACATTCATTATTACATCTAAACTGACAGAACTTCCTTTCTAATTTTCTAGTGTTAATACTTTGGTCAAGAGAATAGTATTTCTGAATTCAAGAGAACGTGTAGCATTATAACTGTTCTACTTCTTGTGAAGTCTGTGGTTCACATTGAATCTTTTGTTGGTATCTTTTGATATCTAGTTTTTAGATTAATATTTTGCACTTTTAATTATAGGTGTATTATGAGAAATGTGAAATATTCTTAGTGCCTTAAACTCGGCAATTTAAAGCTGATCTAGATAACATGTTTGCAAGAGTTTCTTAGACTCACCAAGGTATGCAAATATTCTGTGATGTATCATTTTGAGAAACTAGAAAAATATTCCCCCTTTGAATCTAAGTTAATGATCACACCAGAGGAATATGAGTCAGTCACCTTTGCTGCGCAGTTGACTGTCATAACCTTTCTTATGTTCATATCCAGTGATCTATGATATATTTGTTGAGGAAATTACTGTGAAAAAAATGAGCAAATACTTCTGAAAAATAAAGACTAAGCCGTTTTTCTCCCTCTGTTGCTTTTATGTTGAATGTCTTTTTAAGTTTTATTTTTAGATGGCCTTCTATTCTACCTGAGAATTCAGGCTCACTTTTTACCTGTCAGTTATTTTGATATTGAGTCTAGGTTCATGAGTGGCACTTTATGACGTGTGAGTTGAGTGATAGCCAGGTGTGTTTAGAAGCAGTGTAGTTTGTTTGGTGCTTCCTTGTTAGAAAGGAGTGTGTTTCTATGCATAGCTTCTCTCTGTAGCATGTTCTGCTCACTTGAGTGGCTTTGGAGTTCAAGCAAAGCTATCCAGGTGAGGAAGGAGAAATCTGATGAAACAGGAGCTTGTCTGGGAAGAAATGAGAAAAGGATATGCAGTGGCACCGTAATGGAGAAGAAATGGATTAGCTTAATACCTTGACTACTTTCTTACTTTCTTTCAT